GATAAAACCTACAATGAACGGTTGCAGGAACTGGGCCTGGCTGGTCTAGTGAAGAGAAGGACCAGGGGAGACAGGAGAGCATCTTCCAATATTTGAGGGGCTGCCCCAGAGAGGAGGAAGGGGGTCAATCTGTTTTCCAAAGCACCCGAAGGCCAGACAAGGAATAATGGGTGGAAACTGATCAAGGAGAGATTCAACCTGGAATTAAAGGTGAAACTTCCTGACAGTGAGAACAATCAACCCGTGGAACAGCTTACCACCAGAAGTTGTGGCTGCTTCATCACTGCAGGGTTTCAAGAAGAGACTGGACCACTATTTGTCTGAAATGGTGCAGGGTTTTCTGCTTCAGCAGGGGGTTGAACAAGGTCACCTACAAGGTCCAGCTCTGTTATTCTAAACTCTAAGGTTCCTGCAATACGCGAACCTACTTTGTGAGGATAGATAAACTCAGGGCTGCTTACAAGCTATTATTTGCAGCTTACCAAACTGGCACAAACTGCAATTGTGCATAGTTTATATGTGTACCGGAGTTGCCTGCTCCCCACCTTTGCTATACAGGTCGTCCTTGGTGACGACCCCTTGTTTAGTGACCGCTGGAAGGTACCGCGCTGAATGAGGAACGACAACTTGAAGTTGCAGCCATTGCAGCGTTACCCAGCGTGGAATTTCCATGACACACAGCAGTGACCCATGCAGAAGCCGGCGGGAGATCGCAAATGGCGACCCCACAAGTGTGGGCAGCTGCAACCGCACGGGACTCACCCAACAACTGTGGCAGTTAAGTCAGCGTGGTCCTACTACAGGTAGTCCTCGATTTAACAACAGTTCATTTCGTGACCCTTCAAAGTTACAGCGGTGCTGAAAAATGTGACTTAGGGCGGCTTTTCACAGCCATCCCCAGGATTACCGGATCAAAATTCGGACTCTTGGCCACTGGTTCATGTTTACGACCTTGGCTGCATCCCGGGATCAGGTGATCCCCTTTTGCGACCTTCTGAACCGCAAAGTTAACAGGGGAAGCCAGATCCACTTAATGGCCAGGTTAGTAACTTATCAATTGCAGCGATTGACTTAATGTGGCAAGAAAATAGGACAAAACTCACTTAACCAATGTCCCACTTAACAACATAAATTTGGGGGTCCATTGTGGCTGTAAGTCGAGGACTCCCTATATCAATCAATCAACCAATCAGAATAGAGCTGGAAGGGACCTCAGAGATCTCCTAGTCCAGCCCCCTGTTCAAGCAGGAGACCCTCTCCCATTTCAGACAGGTGCCTGTCCAGCCTCTTCTTAAAAACCTCCGGTGGTGAAGCACCCACAACTTCTGGTGGCAGGCAGTTCCACTGGTTAACTGTCCTCACAGTCAGGAAGTTTCTCCTTAATTCCAGGTTGCTTCTCTCTTTGATTAGTTTCCATCCGTCGCTTCTTCTCCTGCCTTCCGGGGGCTTTTGGAGAATAATTTGACCCCCCTATTCTTTGGGGCAGCCCCTCAAATACTGGAATCCTGCTATCAGGTCCTTCTTTTCTCTAGACCAGTGACTCCCCCCCCCCGCACCTTTGGGCACCAGGGACTGGTTCCATGGAGAAAGGCCCCCCCCACCCGCCCGAGACTGGGGTGGGGAGGGTTTTGCATGCTGCCTGCATCTCGGGGTGGGGGTGGGGGCAGGGGGGGAGAGGAAGCTGCCAGCAATATGGGGGTGGGTGGGTCAACCTCTGCTCCCCTCTATCCCCTTGAGCAGGGGGCTGGACTAGAAGACCTCCAAGGTCCCTTCCAGCATATTCTACATTCTACTCTTATTACAGCCTATCATCACCCTATCCTACCCATGCTTCCCCTGCCTTGAGGAAGCCACGCCCCTTCAGGTGGGCAGGCTCCTCCCCTCCCTCCCTCCCTCCTGGGCAGGTGGTTTCCCCCTCCCCCTTTCAAAGGGGAGGGCACCCCACTCACCTCACACCCGCCCCTCCCCCCCCCAGGAACAAAAGGCAGGAAGGGGGAGTTGGGGGGGGGCTGCATGAGGACCTCCGTGGGCGTGGCCAGCCTCGTGGCTCGCTGCCCAAACCCCGCCCCTTTCCACAGGGTGTGGGCGTGGCCGCCGCGCGCCCAATGAGGGCCGGCCCCGCCCCTTCCTGGGAGGGAGGGAGGGGGGACTCCTCCTCCTCCTCCTCACCTGGTTGTCCATGGCTGGGCCGGGCCGGCTCCCCCCCAGGCGGGTTGGGGCCTACGGGGCTCGGCTGCCTTCAGGGCTCGAGGGGCGGCTGGTGCTGCTGCTGCTGCTCCCGCCGCCGCCTCCTCATGGCGGGCTGCCTGCCGGGCGGGAGCGGGAGCGGGCCTGGCGTGTGGTCCTCGCCGCGCTGGGCCCGGCCCCCTCCGACGCTCGCTTGGCCGCCAGCGCTGCTTCTGCTGCTGCTCCTGCCGCCTCCACACCGGAACCGGAACCCCCTCCCTCCCCTCCGCCCCGGAGACGAGCGGCCGGCCCGGCCAATGGGAGCGCTCGCCTCGGCGCCTCGCCGTCCCCGCCAATGGGAGCGCCGCGGGGAGGGCGGGAATAGCGGCGCCCGCCGGAGGGCCAATGGGAGCGCGGGGGCCGCGTTGCCAGGGAGACGGCGGAGCGCTGAGAGAGAGGGAAGAGACCCCGAAGGCGGCTAGTCCTCATTGAGGCGCCTTTGGTCGCGGATGCGCGGAGAGGAGCTTCCCCTACCAGAGGGGCAGAAGATGGAGCGGAGGCCCTCAGAGAGCAGCAGTTTGGGGTGGAGAGGCGATTTCTCCCCTCTAACGTTTATCATGTGGGGTTTCAACTGGGCAGCGAAGAGATCGGCCTCAACTGATCTGATATATAAATTGAATAAATAAATAAATGAATAAACCAATCGGCCCAGCCCACCTCACAGGGCTGTTGTGTGGGAAATAGTAGCGGGGAGTCCTCCTGTTACGACCACAACGGAAGCCCAACGTTTACGTTGCGAAGGGGGACACTTCGGTGGGTTCCACCCCGTTTTACGATCTTTCTCGCCGCCGCCATTAAGTGAATCGCTGTTCTTAAAATGGTGGTGAAGTGAATCTTCCCCCTTGACTTTGTTCATCAAAGGTCGCAAAAGAGGAATCGGCGTGACACACATACACACACCGGGAGAATCGCGGCCGTCGTTAAGTACGAGCCGTTCGCCAAGCGTCTGAATTCTGATCACCTGGCAGGAAGGGCCATGGGAAAAGGCGGTCATAAGTCAGTTTTCAGGGCCGTTGTAACCTTGAACAGTCACTAAATGAAAAGCTGGGGACTACGTATACTTAAGTATGTTTCCTGCCTTGAATTATTTAAATAATAATAATAATAAGAAGAAGAAAAATAATAAGAAAAATATTAATAAAAAATAAAAAATAAGAAAAAAGGATGGTTCATTGACATTGCAATACCTGGTGATGCACGGATTGAAGATAAGCAGCAAGAAAAAATTACAAAGTACCGGGATTTGCAAATTGAAGTTGAGCGACTGTGGAAAAAGAAATCGTGTGTTGTCCCGATTGTAATTGGAGCCCTCGGAGCGATACCCAAAGGGCTACCCCGCTATTTAGAAATCCTAAATTTGCCGGACTTGAACATTTTGACTCTACAAAAAACCACCTTACTCGGAACAGCTGACATCCTCCGACGATACCTTAACGGTTCCTAGGTCCTTGGTTAGGACTCGAGCTGCTGAGCTATTAACCAGCCTCAAAGGCTGTGAATCTCACTAAAGATTTAATAATAATAATAATAATAATAATAATAATAATAATAATAATAATAATAGTAATAACAACAACAACAACTGAGCTATTAACCAGCCTCAAAGGCTGTGAATCTCACTAAAGATTAACCAATAATTTTATTATTATTATTATTTAAATAATAATGATGATGAAGATGGGACATAAATACAGGTAGCCCTTGCCTTACGACCACTCCTTTAGTGACAGTTTGGAGTTATAACGGGCACTGGAAAAAAAAACCAGACTTGGGACCATTTCTCACACTTACGACCGTTGCAGCATCCCCATGGTCACACCATCAGAATTCTTGGCAACTGACTCGTATTTATGACGGTTGCAGTATTCTGTGGGTCACGCGATCCCCAAGCAAAGTCAGCTTCGCTTGAGAACCGTGTTTTACTAAGGACTGCAGTGATTTCACTTAACAGCCGTGGAAAGAAAGGTTGCAGAATGGGGCAAAACTCATTTAACGACCCTCTTACTTAGCATGGAAAACCATGTGCTCAATTGTGGGCCGTAAGTCGAGGACTACCTGTAAATCTGTAAATCGGGGCATCCCAAGAAGCGGCCAGGCAAAGGGAGCAGAGCCACCCACCCACCCACCCAAAGACACAAGGTCCTGGGGACGGGGGGCCGATTAGGGAAGCAATGAAGGTAGCCAACAGTCAGGTGATTTTTTTTCGTCTTTTTCTTTTTTTTTTTAAAAAAGGAAGAATTTCTTTTAATGATTCGAATAAACAAGACAGGTAAGCAGCAGACGGAGGATGTCGGCGCTTCTCCTTCAGCCGTCCTATTTGTAAGAATTCGCTTTGTGTTTCGGCAGGAAGGAGAAGTTGGCAGGGACGCGGCCCAGCAGCATCTCGCTGGAAAGAAAAGAAAAGAAAAGAAAAGAAGAAGAAACTTGAATTATTGAGGATGCGAGGAATCCAAAAGGTAAGGCGAGGCGAGGGGCGGTTCGAGCTCCCTCGTACCTGATCTTAATCCAGTCGTCCACGTTTTGGCTAGCCATCAAAGTCTCCAAGTAGTCTCGGCCCAGGTAGTAAGGGGGCCTTTCGTTGATTCGCTGCGGCAGGCGCTCCAGCAATCCCACGGGGATGTACCTGAGCAAGAGGAAAATAAAAACAGCTGGAAATGAGAGGTCCAGGGAGATTCTCAGCCACCGGGGTCACCGTTGTCCCAAAGGGGATTTTTCAAGAGGCAACTGGACTTTCTGGGTCTTTCCTTGGAGATGTTTTTGCTTCTCATCCAAGAAGCTTCTTCAGCTCTGGCTGGATGGTGGGGAACGGGAGTCTGTAGACATTCTCAGTCATCCAAGGTCATGGTTGTCCCAAAGGTGCTTTTCCCCACCATCCAGTCAGAGCTGAAGAAGCTTCTTGGATGAGAAGCGAAACGTCTTCAAAGAAAACAAACAAACAAGGAAGTCCAGTTGCCTCCTGAAAAAGCACCTTTGGGGAATGGAAGGATTTATACTCCTTGCAGACAGCTGGTCATTTGCATCCTTTGAGAGAGTCACTGAGGCCACCTGGAGGTTTACCTGTGTCCTCAGGGTCACCTTGGAACTGCTGAAAGGATTGTGTTGTGGAGTTGTGCTTTCTGCAGGATGTTCAGCAGTTCCAAGGAGGCTCCACCCCCATTTGCACCACTCAGGTGACCCTGAGGACACAGAGAAACCCCCAAGTGGCCTCAACGACTCTCTAAAAAGGATGCAAATGACCAGCTTTGTCTGCAAGGAGTATAAATCGTGGTCGTTTGCAACCTTTAAGGGAGTCGTTGAGGCCACCTGGAGGTTTGTCTGTGTCCTCAGGGTCACCTGAGTGGTGCAAATGGGGGTGGAGCCTTCTTGGCACAGCTGACGACATCATCTATCTCCGGTCTACAACACGGTCCGTGTTCAGCAGTTCCAAGGTGACCTCAAGGACACAGGTAAACCTCCAAGTGGCCTCAACGACCTTCTAAAAAGGATGCAAATGACCAGCTGTCTGCACCATCCAAAGGCACCAGAAAAAGTTGAGTTATGACTGATTTTCGCACTTACGACCGTTATAGCATTCCCCTTGGTCAGGTGATCCAAATTCAGAGCCTTGGCAACTGGTTCATATTCACGACGGTCGCCGTGTCCCGGGGTCACACGATCCCCTTTTGCAACCTTCTGAGAAGAAGCCACGGGGAAGCCAGGTTCACTTTGCAACCGTGTGACTAACTGAACAGCTGCAGTGATTCATTTAACAACCATGGCAAGAAAGATTGTAAAATGGGGCAAAACTCACTTAACAACTGTCTTGCTTAGCAACAGAACTTTCGGGCTTGGTTGTGGTCGTAAATCCAGGACTACCGGTAATATGCCCCGTCAGTAGCTCTCTTGCTGTGTTCTCGCCAGCTAGCGTTCAGCCTCTGATGTCAGAAAATTCTCATCCCTACTAGCTACTGTATTTTTCGGAGTATAAGACGCACCTACCTTTTTTGGTGAGGAAAAGAAGAACAAGAAATCTCCCTCTGCCTCTCAGCAATTTTGCCTCATTGCAGCAAACAGCAAACAACTTTACTTTCATTTTCGTTTTCAGCATAGCTTGATTAGCACAAGGGAAAAAAATCTGCTCCAGCAATTTTCTTCCTTGCAAGCAAACAGCAGAGGCCCACGCAAAACAGCTGAGAGCAAATCAGCTGAGAGTCGGGAGGCCGATCCAATCAACTTGTGCTAATTAGGCTGTGCTGAAGCTGAAAGGAGCTGTTTTTTCTTGCTGTTTGCTTGCAAAGAGGTAACTGCTGGGAGGCAGAGGCCAAAAGGTGGGGGCCAGTGGATGGGCGGGGCTACATTCGGTGTATAAGGCGCACCTAAATTTTCACCCCCTTTTAGGGGGGAAAAAGGTGCGTCTTATACTTCGAAAAATACGGTAAATGTTTATGGAGATTCCCAGCCATTTGGGTCCTGGTTGTCCCAAAGGTGCTTTTTCAAGAGGCAAGTGGACTTTCTGGGTTTTTTTCTTTTGAAGAAGTTTCGCTTCTCATCCGAGAAGTTTCTTCAGCTCTGACAGGATGGTGGGGAAGGGAAGGACTGATACTCCTTGCAGACAAAGCTGGTCATTTGCATCCTTTTTAGAGAGTCGCTGAGGCCACCTGGAGGTTTGTCTGTGTCCTCAGGGTCACCTGAGTGGTGCAAATGAGTGTGGAGCCTTCTTGGAACTGCTGACCACATCATCTATCTACAGTCCACAACACGGTCCTTTCAGCAGTTCCAAGAAGGCTCCACCCCCAGTCCCACCACTCAGGTGACCCTGAGGACACAGACAAACCTCCAGGTGGCCTCAAAGACTCCCTAAAAAGGATGCAAATGATCAGCTGTCTGCAAGGGGTACAAATCCTTCCATCCTCCACCATCCAGTCAGAGCTGAAGAAGCTTCTCGGATGAGAAGCAAAACATCTTCAAAGAAAACAGAAAAGCCAGGAAGTCCAGTTGCCTCTTGAAAAAGCACCTTTTGAGTCCCTCCCAGCTACTTCCTGCCCACCATGACCATCCGGCCGAAGGTACAGGAGTGCTTACTCACCTGCAGAGGAAGGAAAGCCACTCCAGCAAGAACTTCCTGGTCTTCTCCACACCTTGGGTGTCTGAGCCCCAGTGTTCCAGGCCGTAGTTGGTGTAGTCCTGGAGGATGTCCAGCCTCTCCCTGGAAGAGATGTCCCAGTGCCGCTGTTCTTTGATCTCGGTGAAGATCCAAGGTTTGATGAGGGCTCCCCTGTGACCAAGAACAACAGTCGTGATAGCATTCAAAATCTGTGGAGCGCCTCAAAAATGGGAGAGGGTTGAGCTGGGGGGGCTTCCGTTCCTGGAATAGAGAATTCTTCGTTGGCCAAGTGTGAATGGACACACGAGGAATTTGTCTCCTTTATTGGCCAAGTGTGATTGGACACACAAGGAATTTGGCCCAAAGGATAAATCACGATGGTAAAATACAGTCATCATAAATCATAAGAGACATAAGTAGTCCTAGGATACTAAATAAGCAGTCAACATAAATCCTAGTGGGATGCTAAATAAAACAATATAAATCCCGAGATACAAGCAATAAAGTTATAGTCATAAGATAAGGAAATAGGGAGTAGGAAAGATGAGAAGGGCAATAGGTAATGCAGACCCATTAAATGGTTTGACATTTATTTATTTATTTATTTATTTTTTATTTATTTATTTATTTATTTATTTATTTATTTATTGGGTTTATATGCCGCCCTTTCTCCATAAGGACTCAGGGCGGCTCACAGCAATAAACAAGTCCAGATTAAAATTTGACAATAAAAAACTAAAATTCCCATTAAAACCCCATTTGACATCCCAGAGCATAGACAGTGTTGTGGGAATTATTTGTTTAGCAGAGTGATGGCATGGTGGGAAAAACTGTCCTTGTGTCTAGTTGTTCTGGTGTGCAGTGCTCTATAGTGTCGTTTGGAGGGTAGGAGTTGAAACAAGTCTATGTCCAGGATGCGAGGGGTCTGTAGATATTTTCCCAGCCCTCTTTTTGACTCGTGCAGTATACAGGTCTTCAATGGAAGGCAGGTTGGTAGCCATGGTTTTTTCTGCAGTTCTGATTATCCTCCGAAGTCCGTGTCTGTCTTGTTGGGCTGCAGAGCCAAACCAGACAGTTATGGAGGTGCAGATGACAGACTCAATAATTCCTCCGTAGAACTGGATCAGCAGCTCCTTGGGCAGTTTGAGCTTTCTGTCTTGGCGCATAAAGAACATTCTTTGTTGTGCTTTTTTGATGACATTTTTGATGTTGGGTGTCCCATTTTAGATCTTGCGATATGGTAGAACCTAGAAAGTTGGAGGTCTCTACTGCTGATACTGTGCTGTCTAGTATTGTAAGAGGTGGTAGGACAGGAGGGCTCCTAATTCTAAATTTCCACAAAGAGATTCCTTACTCCACAAAGAGCAGGGGGTTGGACTAGACGACCTCTAAGGTCCCTTCCAACTCTGTTATTTCTAGGAGGAACTCGGTTGTGAGCTGGTACAGTTTCTACAAGGGCTCCAGGGAGCTGCCTTTCCCAGCCCCGCAGGACGGATATACGTGACGGAGGAGATGAGCTTGCGATCTTCTGGATGGAAGCAAGGGAACCCGTTCTGAATTCTCCCATTAAGCAATGGAAGTTTTTTATTTTTATTTTTATATTAGAGGCTGGAAGAAGAGAAACCATTTACCGTGCAATCATGACCCCTGAAACTCCGCTCTGCATGGCTTGGTTAGCATCTTCGAAAGAAAAAATATCGCCGTTTCCTGCGCCACAAGAAAAATAAATAAATATGAATCTGAAAAGTTAAAAGGAAAAATAAATAAATGAAGAGATGTTATGACAGTTGCAGTGTCCCGGGGGGTCGTGTGACCCACTTTTGTGACCTTCTGACAAACGAAGAAAAGGGGAAGCCAGATCCCCTGAACAATTGTGTTGCTAACTTCACCGCAGTGATTCACTTAACAACGGTGTGTGGCAAGAAAGGTCGTAAAGGCACTTGTTCCCAATCCTCCTTTCTGTGGGAAGAGAGATGTACAGGTATGGTAGTGCTCGACTTACGACCACGGTGGAGCCCAAAATGTCTGTTGCTAAGCGAGACAGTTGTTAAGTGAATTCTGACCCATTTTACGAACTTTCTTGCCACGGATGTGAAGGGAACCAACTGCCATCGTTAAATTAGTTAACACTTAAGTTTGTTAAGGGAATCTTGTTTCCCCCATGGACTTTACTAGTCAGGAGGTCACAAAAGGAGAAGCGTGTGACGCTGCAACCGTCATAAATGTGAGTCAGTTGCCAAACGTCTGAATCTTCATCATATGACCATGGGGATGCGCCAACATGGGGTTGCGAAAAGTCCATTTTTAGTGCTGTTGTAACTTTAAAAGGCCACTAAATGTACTGTTGTAAGTTGAATTATATGTGTGTGTGTGTGTGTGTATAAATATATGGATGTGTGGATGTGTGTAACATTTATTAATTTACTTATGTTTTCATTTTAATGTTGTAAGCCGCCCAGAGTCACCTTGTGGCATGATGGACAGCAAACAAATAGGATAGATAGATGATTGATAGATAAGGAGAGAGGTACATTAGATAGATACACAGATGATAGATAGATGAGATAGATATGGATGGACGGACAGACAGACGGACAGAAGAGTCTTGCAGACTAATTCAAGGGAAACAAACAAAGCCATGCTGAAAACGATGCCTGTTGAAGTATCCTGCAAGGGCTGAGCCAGGAAATGCCGGAACTGGCCGCCCGCCACTTACCGAAGAGGGGCATGGGGCTGGCCACCTGGACACACTCCGCTATGTAGGCCCAGTCTGCCATCTTTGTGTACCTCTGCTCTCTCGATCGGCCGTGGAGCTAACGAGGGGCAGAAAAAGGTGCAGTTGGCATGGATGAAGCAAACACGGCAAGGCCTGGATGCCTTCAAGCCTGCTCGGCTGGGGAATTCTGGGAGCTTGTAGACCCCCCTGCTCTAAATAAAAGCAGCACAGCAGGTTCCACTTCTCTCTCTCTCTCTCTCTCTCTTTCTCCAAACCTTTGCTAGAGAAACCCCCAGGAAGAGGAAGGACGGGACAGGAATGCTACCCCACTCTTCCCCTCTGAGCACTCAGATTTGCCAAGGCGAGTAACCAGGCCTCCATCCTAAATGTTTCCCTTTTAGCAGGAGGTGTCTAGATTTATTTGCGCATATAATATATATTATATTTGTTTCTCAGTTTTTGCGGGTGTTTGTATGTGGGTCTTTGGTTATTCGGGTCTTCTCCCACGTAAAATTGGAAGTGTCTTGGCGACGTTTCGACGAAGTCTCATTCGTCATCTTCAGGCTGTGTTCTCGGCTTCGTGCTTCCAGGAGCAATGTGAGATCGCAGCTGTCTCTTCTTTTACTGCTAGTGGGGGTGTGAGCTGATTGGGTGGGAACTTGGCTGTGTTCTGATTGGGTGGAGGTGTGTTTCTGATGGTTAGGGGCTTGGCTGTGCTCTGATTGGATGGGGGTTGGTTGTGCTCTGATTGGATGGGTGTGTTCTGTTTGGGTGGGGGCTTGGTTGTGCTCAGCTTAGTCTGAGTTGCAGGGGATTTGAGCTGTGAGCTGCATTGTTCTTCGTGTTTGTGGCCGTGCGAGCTCTTCGTGGTGGGTTCAGTCTGCTTCACGAAGACTCGCACGGCCACAAACACGAAGCCAAACAACAATGCAGCTCACCAGCTCAAATCCCCCTGCAACTCAGACTAAGCTGAGCACAACCAAGCCCCCACCCAAACAGAACACACCCCCATCCAATCAGAGCACAACCAACCCCCCATCCAATCAGAGCACAGCCAAGCCCCTAACCAATCAGAACACACCTCCACCCAATCAGAACACAGCCAAGTTCCCACCCAATCAGCTCACACCCCCACTAGCAGTTAAAAGGAAGAGACAGCTGCGATCTCACATTGCTCCTGGAAGCACGAAGCCGAGAACACCAGCCTGAAGATGACGAATGAGACTTCGTCGAAACGTCGCCAAGACACTTCCAATTTTACGTGGGAGAAGACCCGAATAACCAAAGACCCATATATATATAATATATATATATATAAAAAGAGGCCATAGACATCACGATCTCCGGAACATTTAAAAGTTTAAAATTTTTTATTTTAAAACTTGTGCTAAGCTTTCGTCGGCCACTACCGACTTCGTCAGAGTGTAAAATCCCCATTGAGGAGCTGCTTGCTTTTATGTAATGCTGATCAATTTAGTCATTGCGTGCGTAACAGGCCCACACCCTTGCGTTCCCCCTGTAATTAACTTTTTTTCTGCCTTAGTCATGCTAACAGATGACGATGCACTTCCCCCTGCTCCTTCCGCATTGTGTGTTGCCTCTTTCTCTCCGGGGGGTAACGCAGGGTTATCAGGCATTGCTTTGATGGTATTTCTTCAAAGCAATTTTATTTTAAAATAAAAAATTTAAACTTTTAAACGTTCCAGAGATCGTGATGTCTATCGCCTCTTCTCTAACTATACCTGGAACTCGCATTTTTAGGACAATTCTTAATACACACACACACACACACACACACACACACACACACACACACACACGTATGTGTGTATATTTAATATTTCGGGTTTCTTCCCGTGTAATTGTGGATATATCCCTAAAAGGGTAGAAGCGACGTTTCGACAGAATCCCATCTGCCATCATCAGGCTTATGTCAGCAGTCTTTTGTAGTAACATATATGTAGTTCATATATATATGAACGCGAAATTCATCTGGGAAATTTAATTTTCTTTCATTTCGTTACTTACTGAGGAGAGCCAAGCAGCTAAGGCCTGCTGCTTGTAGTTTCTCATTTTCAGGGTACGTTTCTACCGCCTTCACGATCACTTCGTGTACAGAATTCAACACGAGGATATTGAAGAAGTTTTCTGTGGGAGATTAAGAAAAAAAAATTAAACTGGAGCCTACGTGTAAACCAGAAAGTTATCTGACAGTTGGCAAAGACTCATGACAAAGATTTTTTTCTTTTCCCCACCAGCTGAAAACTATTCTCAAATCGTGTTTGGGTGAGGAAGGAGATGGCATGATTTGCAATAATTAAGGATGGCACCCAAGGGGAAGGGAAAAAGAAAGAAACTTGGAGAAAGCACCAAGCAAGAGGACTTCCCGTCGTGTGGTACTTTTTTAGTAATGTTCAGTCCTTACAGGAAGTAGTCCATTTTTTACAAATCCAAACCAACTTGAATCGGATCTCTTCAAAACCCTCAAAATTTGTTTTTAAGGAATGCTGTAGCGCAGCCTAGATCGGGAGTGTCAAACTCATGGCTCGCGGGCTGGATCCGGCCCATGGGATGCTTAAATCTGGCCCGTGGGGCCGCCCTGGAAACAGCAAAGGACCGGTCAGCGGCGCCTCTGCCAGTGAAAATGGAGCTCAGGAGGGCCGCACACAGCCCTCCCGGGCCCCATTTTCAGCCATGACGGCCTCCTGCAGCCCTCTGCCAGTGAAAATGGAGATTCCCCGGGCCGTTTTCGGCAGTGACGGCCTCCTGCAGCCCTCTGCCAGCGAAACCGCGCGCCAACCCGACCTCCATTTTCGCTGGCAGAGGGTTGCACAAGGCCATCGCGGCTGGCCATGCCCCCCCAGCTCCCCCGAGGTCAAATACAACCCTGATGCAGCCCTCAATAAAATCGAGTGACACCCCTGGTCTAGATGCTAACTCTGAGGTGCTGGATGACTGACTATGGACAGAGATTGTTTGCCGCACGCTAAAACCTAGCACCATTTTTGCAAAAACAAGGAGGTTTTTTTTTAAAAAAGAGTTTTGCAGTAGATAAAATTTCATGCCCCATTCCCCTCCGTGTTTTTTTTTCATAGAAATAAGGACATTGGAGTCAAAGTCTGTATACTTTCTCCATGAATGGCATATACAGATTGGCAGCTTTAAAATATATCAAATCTGGAATCCTTGGGGGAAAAATGCTTTCAATGCATTTATCGTGCTTTCTGTTACGGATAATCTATCTGAAGAAGTACTAGAATGCCAGGAAGCTGTCAAAGGTTGGATAGATAGATGATAGGTAGGTAGGTAGGTAGGTAGGTAGGTAGGTAGGTAGGTAGGTGGATGATAAATATGGATGGATGGAAGGAAGGATGGATGGACGGATAGGTGGATGGGTGGGAAGGTAAGCTAGGTAGGTTGGATAGATAGATGATAAATGATAGAGAGAGAGAGGTAAGTAGGTAGGTAGGTTAGTTGGATAGATAGATAGATAGATAGATAGATAGATAGATAGATAATAGATAGATAGATAGATAGATAGATATAGATGATAGAGAGAGGTAGGTAGGTAGGTTAGTTGGATAGATAGATGAGAGAGAGAGAGAGAGAGAGAATGATAGGTAGGTAGGTGGATGATAAGATATGGATGGATGGATGGAAGGACGGACGGACGGATAGGTGGATGGGTGGGAAGGTAAGGTAGGTAGGTTGGATAGAGATAGATAGATAGATGATAGATAGATAGATAGATAGATAGATAGATAGATAGATAGATAGATAGATAGATATAGATAGATGAGAGAGAGAGGTAGGTAGGTAGGTTAGTTGGATAGACAGATAGATAGATGAGAGGGAGAGAGAGAGAGAGAGAGAATGATAGGTAGGTAGGTGGATGATAAGATATGGATGGATGGATGGATGGAAGGACGACGGACGGATAGGTGGATGGGTGGGAAGGTAAGGTAGGTAGGTAGGTTGGATAGATAGATAGATAGATAGATAGATAGATAGATAGATAGATAGATAGATAGATAGATAGATGATAGATGAGACAGAGAGAGAGGTAGGTAGGTAGGTTAGTTGGATAGATAGATGATAGAGAGAGAGAGAGAGAGATGATAGAGAGAGAGAGAGGTAGATAGGTAGGTAAGTTGGATAGTTGATAGATAGATGGATGGATGGATGGATAGATAGATGATAGATAGATAGATAGATAGATAGATAGATAGATAGATAGATAGATAGATAGATAGATAGATACAGATAGATACATAATGGTTCAAAAAGAAGTTTTATTAAGTGTGCGGAGTTCCCCTATTGCATTATTCATGTTCCTATCAAACCAAAGGCAGGATAATTTCGTTTCGGACTCACCCAGAGTAAGTTTGTGCAGGAGGCAGCAGCTGACTTCCTGAATTGGCTCACATGCGGGGAACGCTTTCATAACCTCCACTATGATATTGTAACACCGCACATTTCCAGACATAAGAACTTCCGCATTGCTAACTAGAAACAACACAGAAAGGAAATTGAGTAAGAAAAAAACATTTATCCCATTGTTCTTTTTAAAGTCATCCTTAACCATTCTTGAAATATTTGTAAACGATGCTGCCTTTTACCGACAAGACGCATGAAGTAAGTAAAATCAACAATTAGAAATCGTTAACAGAGTGGCACACTGGCTAGCAGGCAATGACTTCAATAGGAGCCAGCAGTGTGCGGCAGCTGTCAAAAAAGCCAATATGATCCCAGGCTGCATTAACAGAAGGAGAGAATCAAGATCATGTGAAGTGTTAATACTACTTTATGATGCCTTGTTAAGACCATACTTGGAATATTCCAGAATGGATAATATTTGTTTTTTGGTCGCCATGATATAAAAAAGATGTTGAGAGTCTGGAAAGAGTTGCAGAGGAGAGCAACAAGGATGATTAGGGGAAGGGGTGGGATTCAAACATTTTAGCAACCCGTTTCTACCGGTTCCTGGTGGCGTGGCTTACTTCAGCCTCCTGCACCATGGCTGGGGGGGGGGTATTTTTTGCCCTCCCCAAGCTCTGGAAGCATTCTTCGAGCCTCCGGGAGGGCAAAAACAGCCTCGCCTGGGCTCCAGAGGCAGGAAATGGGCCCGTTTCCAGACATCTGGAACTTCCGGGAGGCACATTTTTTCGCCCTCCCAGAGACTCCAGCGTGGGCGCTGCACTTACCTGGCATCCAAAACTATTTAATAATTTTATTTTATTTTATTTATTTTTATTTTTTAAAACAAAACTTTATTCATTCTTAAAAACATTTAAAACATACAAGTTTCTCTTAGTCAAGAAACAAATTTACATATACAGTACAC